CAGTGTATGTAAAAATAAAAATCCAAGCTCCGTTAATCCTATATCGTTAACACCCGCTGGTTCATGTTCTCTAACTACCTCTTTCACACCCGCAAGTTCTTGTTGTTTTAATGGTGCATTGAAACATTTCCTCTAAATAATCATTATGATGAGTTATGACATGACGACGATGAAGAATTGAATAAAAGAACTTTTTTATAGGGGGGAAAGGAAGAAAAGCCAAGCATACCTGAAATTCATTTAATTCGTTATCATTAAGTGTACCGTCTTTATCAGTATCGCATAAAGAAAAAATTCTTTTGAGAGCATCTATACATGCCGGTCTTAACACATGTTCTCTTGAATCATATAAAGGCGCCGTTGGATGAAGAACTGCTTTTTGTGCAAAATAAAAAACTTCTGATACATTTAATGGTTGTTTCGCAGAACATTCTACACAAGTTTCTACTTCCTAAGTAATAATAAAATTAAAATTATTTATTTATTTATTAATTACTAAAATATAATATACACACGCTCATATACCTTGAATTCATTCATTATCGGTATTATTTCTTCTTCTAATGATTGATTTGTTACTTGGTCACCTCGAAGATCAATCTTATTACCAACCAGCACCACTGGAACCTAATTTCTCACAGAATTTAGGTATAAAATGAATTTTAGTATCGTTTCATTAATTCATCTGTTAATGTATAGAAGTGTATATCCGGTAACTAACATTTACACCAAGACTTCGTATATAAGGTAACCAATAAGAAGCTAATCGACTAAATGTATGTGTATTTTCAATTGAATACACAATACATATCACATGAGCTTTCTTGATTTCATTCTCTAGCTGATCACGATTTTCAGATCGTGCTTTTATTGTTATAAAAAAAGAATTAATAATCATAATCATAATACACAATAATTCTCCAAAAATTATTTTACAATAATAATTAATGATTGATTATTACATGATGAATCTACTATATGTGTTATAACCTTTTCCGGTGTGACTTCTGGTGGGATTGTTACTTCTGGGACAACATGCTGAATCTTTTTTTAAAATAAAAATAAAAAATTATTAAAGTTGGATCAATTGTAATATTATTGTATTATATTGATCAAATTAATCGGTCAATTAATTAATCAATCAATATTTATTTATTTACATTTGGAACAAAAGTTTCTCTAATAAGCGATGTAATAAGTGTACTTTTTCCAACACCATCTTTTTTCATTTCATTCCATTTTTGTTATTATTGTTGAAAATCATATTCATAATTGTGTCGATAGTAATAATTATGATTATGAAGTTGCCGATGTTGTAATTCATATTAATTCAATTATTCAATTAAATTCAAAAATATCCATTGATCAAAGGTTTTTTTTAAAGAAAAAATAAATTAACAATTAATTTTTAATGGTCCCTTTCGATTAATAATTCAATCAATCAATCAATCGACAATCAATCAATTAAACAAACAATCGATCGATCAATCAATCAATCAATCAATCAATTAAGCAATCAATCTTACCGTCACCAGCAAGTAAAATTCTTACAACTCGTCGCATCTTTAAAAGTATTGTTTGTTTACGCGTTAACACTAACTTTTAGTTAGTAGTGGTAATGAAAAGCTTTGAAAAGCAAAATGTGAAAGAAAAATGGTTGTTGCTCGTATTTATAGTGATTTTTGTTAAGGATCTTAATATTAATGGAATTCTTGAATAATGTGAAAGGACGATCGTGTTTGTGAGATTTTTTATTAAAATTAATAATATGTCTCTCTCTCTCTGACAGTAATTAATAAATTAACAAATATGTATGTGTGTATATATATAAACATCAACTTATTCTATTCTAATTTCACCCCTTTAAAGGATAAATAAAATTACGTATTGTGCCAAAAATCTTTTTTTCTCCTCAAAAAAAAAAAATTTTTATTTGATTATGGTAATATTATGGTAAGTCAGTGATGTCATTCATTAACACAAAAAAAAGATTTAACATTTGCCGTGTCCAAAACTCGCAAGTCGTGCGACTTCCGCGCAGTTTTCTCGCCGATTGTCTCCTTTTGCGCCTGGTCTTTTCGGTTTTGGCGCGATCAACGTTTTCACCATATTTAGCAAAATTGTGTCGTACGGCAAATGTTTTGTTTTATAAAACTGCAACAACAACAATTGAAATTGAGTTGCATTGAATTGAATTGCAAAACAATGCGTTGCAATTGCAATTGAAACCGAAAAATCTTTGTTTTTTAAACCTAATTTTTTGGGAGGGAATTTTTTGCTTTTGCTGAGTGGTAAAATTTTTTTTTTATTTTCCTGAAAAAAAATTTGATCTACATAATTTTTATTGCATACAAATACAAAGAGTAATAAAAATTATTCAGTGTCACAACTCTCATCGTCGTCGTCGTTTACCACTGTTTCATTCTCATTATTATCGTCATCATTTTCAATGTTGTATGAATTTTCTACTGCATCCGTATAACCTTCATTGTTGCTGACAACTTCGTTGCCCTTGATGTGCTTGATTCTTCCTGTGGGTCATGGTCTGCACTTCTTTTTTTACCCGACTCCCTGATGTGATTTGTGGTCTTTCTCTTGCGGTTGGAACTCATGAATTGTTCCTCAAAATCCAGATGTTTGGATTTAATGCTTTGCGTGGGGATTTCTTATCATCGTTGTTGTTGGTCTTTTCAACCCTCGGGTAATTTCACTTTATCAATTATTCAAATAATTATATAGGCGGGCTTGGTATAAGTAAGTGTTAAAGTCAAGATCTATTTGCAAATCAAGTTTCCAAAATGAACGTTTATTATTATAGGCGGGTTTGATCAAAGTAAGTCTTAAAGTCGAGATCTACGAAGCTGTTTGTAAAATATATTTAATTAACGTTTTATTATTATCAATTATTCAATAACCATATAGGCGGGTTTGATCGGTCAAGATCTATATAATTAGATTGTTAATGGTTAATAATGGAATTTTATTACATGCAAAAAAAATTTTTTGAGTTGTAAATTTTGTTTTATTAAATAAATTTGTTTAATTTTTTCATACATCGCTCATGTTTTCTCTTGATCGTATATCTTAAATTGGTCGCGTTTACAATCATTTTGACATTTGTTATATTAAGGTTATTTTGATTATATCGAAAGATATGGTCAAGAGAAGAGTTAGGAAGAAAGTTATTCTTCAACCAAGTCGAAAACCAACCCTTTAAAATACATTTTCGAGCAGTACGATTTAATTTATGAGACTATTTCAAATGTTTGCTTCCAACTTCTTAAATTCGATCCATTTGTTAACGGAACAACTGTTTGATTTTTTCATACATCGTTCATGTTTTCTCTTGATCGTGTATCTTAAATTGGTCGCGTTTACGATCATTTTGACATTCGTTATATTAAGGTTATTTTGATTATATCGAGAGATATGGTCAAGAGAAGAGTTAGGAAGAGAGTTATTCTTCAACCAAGTCGAAAACCAACCCTTTAAATACATTTTCGAGTAGTACGGTTTAATTTATTAGACTATTTCAAATGTTTGCTTCCAACTTCTTAAATTCGATCCATTTGTTAACGAAACAACTGTTGGTGAAGTGATTGTTGACAAAATGAATCAATGTTTTATGTTAACGTTTATTTTTACGTTATCAATTTCACGATTTTGATTTGTCGATCAACAATTGCGTGGGTTAAAATTTTGTGTTATGAGACAGTCTCCCCTGTTATATGTAATAAATGATTGAATCAAGATTAAATCGTGTATTTTTGTTATTGTAATGCTATGAAACACTCGGCGCAGTGATATTTTTATTTTTCGACCATCTTGTATAACGTTGTATAATAATAAATGATTTCATGGTTTGAATGTGCTCATCCTCTGTAAACTTGATTGCTTGAAGATGGACAGGGACGTCGTAGAAAGTTGAGTTCCGTGCGCTGAAATGGCTTGAGAGGAATTTCTCTACAAAAAAAACGAAAAAAAAATGTGGGGACGGCCGTCCTATTTTGTATTTTTTTGAATTGATAAAATAGACTATTATTGTCTTGACCTGAGTGATGTCATTGTGTGAGTAAAAGACACGAAGCTCGCTGTCACGTTTTCGTTTAAAAACTTGTTTTCTGTGTTAACAAAACATTTGCCGTACGACACAATTTTTTGCTAAATATGGTGAAAACGTTGATCGCGCCAAAAACCGAAAAGACCAGGCGCGGCTAGACGCAAAAGGGGACAATCGGTGAGAAAACTGCACAGAAGTCGCACGACTTGCGAGTTTTGGTTACTTGTGTTAATTAATAATAATAATTAATGACAAACTTTAAACCATTATAACTTTTCATTTCAATAAAATTTAAAAAAACTCTTTATTGCATCTTTCCTTATGTCTTATAGAAGAATAAAACTATAGAGTTTTTTTTTTATCTTGCATGGTCATTGAACTTATACATTTTAAAGTTTAGCCAAAATTTTTGATGTCGACACCATAACAATAATAGCACTAATACCAGTAGTAATGATGAAGGTAACAGCAAAATAATGATGAAATACCAGTAAAAAAAAATTAAATCGGACAACAATAATAGTATTAATAGTAATGATGAAGGTAACAGCACAATTATTGACAATGAAGAAGATGATGACAAAGATGTTGATGAAAGATCAGTAAAAAAAATTCAATCAGACAATAATAATCAAAAATGACTATAATAATGATAATTCTAATAAAATATTCTGGTGAATGAAAAGGAATAAAAAGAAAAACAACAAGAACCAGAAATAAGAAATAAGAAGTTTAGTTTGAATTTATTATTTACTATTTTTATTTCTTGTTTTGAATTGATTTTGTTGTTATTTACACTATTGGAAGAGAAAAACTCCAAAGTTAATGTAATTATTTATCTAAATTATATTTTTCCTATAAGATAAAATAAAATACACCAAAATCTTAAAATTAAAGTTATTAGTTGTTTAGTTCTTTCCTACGTCTACGAGATTTATCATTAATATTTCTATCATTGATATTATTAATATTATTGTTAATGTTAGTATCATCTTTATTACTACAAATTAGTTTTTTATAAATTAAAATAGGGATTGAAAATACAAAAATATTCAAAATTCTTGGTTTCTCGATTTCATTCTCATCCATAATAAATTGTTCGCCATCTTTAGTCAACAAGAAAACATTATCATAATCAACAATGAAATTCTTTTCATTAACAAAAATTTTTTTCCTGGTGTTTTGTTTTTTCATTCTTTTACCACAGGCGATTTCTCTCGATTCTTGTATATAATATCGTACACGTTGCTTGTCCCGATAATAGTTTATCCACGTGATAACATAATGAAACAATGATGATAGCATTAATAAAAATATTACTACGGTACCAAGTCCTGGTCTATGACGGTTATAATAATAGCCAGTACCACGCCATTTTGGTACTCCATTCTTTAGAAAAAAATTGTATCGTTCTCTTGACTCTGAATTACGCAAAATTGCACCTATTAAACCTAATCTAGAAAATCTTTCTTTGCTATCTTTATCAGGATTTTTATCCGGGCTAAATAATAATAAAATCGTTAAGTTTTTACATGTATTTATTATCATAATATACAAATAAACTTACTGTAAAGTTAAAGATAATTTACGATACGCTTTATTAATTTCTTTCTCGTTGGCTGTAGGTTCTACTCCGAGCCATGAATAAAAAGTTACATCTTCCCCTTCTGCATTTTCTAAATCGTCTACTAAATCAAATATTTCGTGATCCTCTGTTTTATTTTAGGATATAAAAAAATTTGAACTTATTGAATTTATTTTATTCCGTATTATATAGATATATATATTCTAATTTATTATAATAATGAACCTTGTCCCCAAGCTTTTATTAGCGAGATAAATATAAAAATCGAAAAAATTAAAAATGTGCAAAATTTAAATTTTTTCATTTTAATTATTTTGAAAAAAAACCCCCAAAAAATTATATTTTAATTTATATTTTTATTTTATTATGGCTAAAGAAGGAGATAAGTGATTGATTCGACTGAAAAGAACAATTTTTACGTGTTGTAAAATCGTTGGAGGATTCCGTAACACAGCCACCCAAAGTTTATCATGGTAAACGTACATTATAAATGAAACACACCCTAAGCCCTTCACTGCTGCGATTTTTTTTAAAGAAAAACTGTCAGAGCTTATTAGAGCGTACCATATTAATATATAATTTTTTCTCTTGTTTAGTCAGTTCACAACCCCACGCTGCAAAATTTCAGATAATTCAACTGGAATTCAACACACTGAATGAACAATTAAAAAGCTAAAGAATCAAATAATCCAGCAAAAGCATTAGAATTAAAGATAGGAATTATTGAATTGTATAAAAAACATAATGTTAGTCCATTTAAAGGCCCACTAACCATACTTTTTAATTATCCAAACCTGCATTTCCTACATAGAAAAGTTTTCATCACACTAAAACTGTTAACTTTTAGATAAAATTGTTTTTTGAGATTACTTCAATTAGCAATTTTAGCTTCCTAACTTACTACCTCGTTATTTTTATAATAAACTTGAACTTCATTGTTAGAGTAAAATGAAAGTACTCCATTAAAGCTTTCTAAGGTCCTCTCTACATGAATTAATGGCTATTAAAAAACGGTATTACTTCTTTGCTTCAAACCTCAGATTATTTCTCAATATCACTTTAAAAGACTTGATAGTAAATGAGGTGTAGAATATTTTAAGCTTTCATATGGTTATTGCTTTATGGGGGTGTTGGTTAATAAGTTTTAGAGAGGTTCATGAAAAACTATTTTATAGAAATTTAATAGTCGCGAGGAATTTTATGTAAACTTGGTTGATTTCTTTTTTTAAAAACTTTTGCTGAATCTAATTCACAACCTATTATTTATGAAAGTAAGTAATAGATGTTATAGAAAAAAAAGGTGTATAACTATATTATAAAAGAATTATTTGTTTATATATTTATTCATCTAGGATGTAATTATTAAAGATATTATTCATCTCAATTCGTCTATATAGGATGTAATTATTATTTATCTCAATTCATAACTCAATATCGAATATCGGAATAAATATCGGTCGCGCTTTACTTCGTCGAAAATTATTTCGTCGACAATCATTTCGTCGACAATCATTTCGTCGAAAATTATTCATTCTCGAGCCAGAGACCGAAAGAGTTAGATGTGAGAAGTGTCAGATTAATTTAAGGTTTGATTTATTTTTCTCTATATTAATTTTTGGGAAGTTAATTAAGAAATTAGGTGAGGAAAGCGGAGTGTGTAGGAAGTGTGAGGAGAAATTTGTTTAATGAAGTTTTTTTTTGTGACGAAATAATTTTCGATGAAATGAACTTTCGACGAAACAAATTTTCGACGAAATGATTGTCGATGAAATGAATCAGACCCATAATTCATATGTTTCTCGATCACAGTCAAAATTATCTTCTAGCCAATTGGCAAACTTCCAGCATATCAGTGTACCAACAACAATCACTTCCTCATCAGCAGAATTTTAGCTTTGCGGACTTTAAGTTTAAGAGCATACTAGGTGGAGGACGAAGTGGAAAAACACTCCTATGCAAGTTTCATGGGGATACAATTGCTTTGAAGAGTGTAGACTTATCAAAAGCCCCACCATATGTTTTGGAAGAAATGCAGAAAGAAGTAGAGATTTATAAAGACCTTGCTGATATCCAAGGCAAGTATATCCCAAAGTTGGTGTGCTATGGATATTATGGAGGAGGTATGAGTTTTGTTATTGGCATGACCATTGTTGGTACTATGTTGTTTTAGCATATAATAACAAAACGGCAAAAGTCAAGAGCTATTAAGGGATTAGAAATGATTCACAAGCATGGCATCCTCCACAATGACATTCGGGAGGAAAATGTCTTAATTAACAATAATGGCAATGTGTACCTGATTGACTTTGGGATGGCAAGTTGGGAGGACACAAAAAAGAGGAGAAAGCTTTTTGAGGAGGAACAGCTCAAATATTCTAACTTGCTAGATAGATATAAGGCAGGATGAATTTTCAAGCCACAGATTATACATTAGACATTAGCATTGTCATGTATCACTAGCAAAGTCCCAAACTTGTATTTTTTCACATTCACCTAAAGTTTAATAATAAAATTCCTGCTACTTTATTTGATACAAAAAAATAATTTTATGTTATAAATTACAATGTAAAGGCCAGCCTATGCTGACAGAATTGTGGAGCAGGGACAAAGAGGAAGGAATAAAGCATATAACATGCCTGCCAGGATCCTAGACCCTTTAAATTGTAAATTATTGGGCAGTTCCTTTCCCTGTCCACGTTAGCTATTGTTATCATTGTTATTATTACTATTATCACTATCAAAAATTATATTACTGCTACTTGAAAAATTATTTCTACTGCTACTGCTAATGATAATAGAATTATCTTTTTTCTGATTTTCTTTTTTGATCCAGGCCTCAATTTTTATCTAATGAAGTTTTTAATGGAGTTTTTGATGTATATAGAAACTTGCTAGTGTTGCCTCATTATTTATCATCAAAATTTTTCCTATTGATGATAATTTAAAACTCAAGTATTAATATGCCAGGTCTTTATGTCTTCAAATGAATTGAGATAAATAATTGATGTATGCTTATAACTATTTTTGAGTTTAGAAAAATATTGCTTTCTTGTAAATATTCACCAGCAGCATGAAATTTGTAAAATATTTAACTTATCATAATAAATTTTTATCTGCCTTATATATTTTATATTGAATCCTGTTTATTTGACTGAAAACTATGTAATTTTTTGCTTCATATGTAACTTTTAGATTGGTTCGCATCCAAACATATCCCAAATCTTTAAATGAAAGTGCGTAAGGAAAAGATAATAAATAATTGCATAATATTATATATGATGGATGTTATGCTGAGTGAAAAAAGTAGTAGATAAATACACATTTATTGCGAGTATTTATTAATCAGTAATAATAATAATAGCAAGAATTGAAGTAAAAAATTTCGTAAATTTTCTAATAGTACATTTAATAACAAGCAGAATAATCAAAGTTAATAATTAATTAATTAATCAAGTCTAGTAAATTTTGTTTCTATAAATCTTTGCCTTCGTTCTTATATTTTTTTAATGGATAATTATTTGGATATTTTTGAATCAATTCTTTTAATTTTTGTTTTTGATTAATAATGTTCTGTGTGTGTTTATCATATATATCGCTAAACAATTCTGTTATTGATGGTTTTTGAAGTTTTTCTGCCTTGGAAAATGATTTTAAAATCTCTTTTCGAATATATTGTCGAAATTCTTCATCGTCTTTATTATTCCACCATTCCTAAATTCAATATAAATCATTTATGCTTATCATTATAAACACATAAAAAAAATATTAAATTATTAAAAACATGGTAAAGTAAAAATACCTTGATTTCAAGCCATTTTCGAAATCTGACTATTGGATTATCAAACCTTTTCCAGCCTTCTACTTCTTCTTTTGAACGATATGCTGTTGAATCATCCGATGTACTATGATGCCCTACCCTATATGACATAGCTTCAATTAAAACTGGTCGATGTTCTTCAATTGCTAAGCGTCGTGCTGCTTTCGTAACATTGTAAACAGCCCATACATCATTTCCATCAACACGAATTGTATCAATTCCATATCCAATACCTCGGCTTGCAATACCATCTCCTTTATATTGTTCTGATACTGGTGTTGAAATTGCAAATCCATTATTGCGACTTTTTTATTTTTTCCAAAATAACTTTTTAGATTAATTATCTTATATTCAATATATCATTAAGGCTTTCCAGACAAACGAAATACACATACATATATTGTTTATACATACCAAAAAAATATAACAGGGCATTTCAAAGTTGCTGCAATATTTAATGCTGCATGAAAATCACCTTCACTGGCAGCACCTTCACCAAAGTAACATACAACGCAATTATTTTTTCCAGCTCTTTTAAATGCATAAGCTGCTCCAGATGCTTGTGGAATTTGTGTTGCAAGTGGTGAAGAAATAGTTTGAAAATTTAATTCTCTAGATCCATAATGTACAGGCATTTGCCTACCTTTACCTAAATCCCTTTCATTACCATAGCATTGATTCATAAATTGTTCCAACGTAAATCCTCTATATAATAGCACTCCTGATTCACGATATTGTCCAAAAATCATATCTTGGCTATCTAATCCTGCAGCACTACCAATATATGCCTCTTCCCCATAATTCGTCAAATAAAAACTAATACGTCCTTGTCTTTGAGCATCATAAAGTATAAGATCCATCGTGTCTAATGTAAGCATATCTTTATAGATTTTGATGGCGAATTCTTTTGATACCTATTTTGTCACATATTTAAGCAAACATATATTAGAAGAGGGATAATTAAAATATATATGCAAGTGTAAGTTTATCGATATTTACAGACGGCTCCTGATCTGAAGCTAAAACCTTTCCATTTTCATCCATTACTCGATATGTTGGTATAGGATCAATGCTTTGAATAAATTGCATTTTGCTCGTAAAATAGCTATTTCTAGTTCCTGGAAAATGGAATTTTTCTCCTTTTTCATCCTTTGTCAATTCTTGGAATGCTCTTGACGAGGTTGATACTCTATTATTTAGAAGTAAGGACTTGTTATACAGCCTTCTTAACACTTTAGAAGTACAAAAGGTGTTAACTTTTGAAGCAAACATGTTTATCATATATAGTCGGTGTTTAAGATTGGCTTGCACAAGCTGCACGGGCGCGGGTGTTTTTTGAAATGTGCAGGTATAATCAAAACGTCCTTGAACTCATGTGCATTAAATATTTTAAATAAAGCTTGCACAGTAATTTTTGTGCACCTAAAAATACAGATTAAATATGCACAAGATGTGCATACAAATTTAAACTTGCACATATAGTAGTCATATGATAAATTATCGGGAATGATTTTTTTCTTTTAAAGTTTTTCAAAATGGAAGATAATGGTTTACAATTACAAGATAAACAATTCACAATTTTTTAATGGTTCTTTTAATATTAATGACCATCCAAAACCAAAAAAAAAAACTAATTATATAATTGCTTCAAAGGCTGATAACAACTTTAATGCTTCTAACCAATTAACTAAATCAAATCTCAATATTAATGCACATGTGCATTTAAAATAAAAATCTACATGCACAAATGTGCATGTATTTTGAATTTAAGCACCATATTCAATCGTGCTCAAAATTTGTAAATCACTTATTATGAACGTTTTTTCGATTTCAAGATCCCAAATAGAAGACAGGGCAGATGGGGCAGATAGGAGTTATAAAAGAAAGAGAGTATGAATTCCAGCATCACACAGGTAGTAATAATACCAAGGTCATGCATGAATGAAACTTTTAATAATGCCTGTCTATTCAGATCTCTGGGACTCACAATAATAAATAATAGGGAGGATCGAAAAAAATATTATAGTTCTCATTGTATAGTTCCTTAAAATGAATAATAAATCTGATGCTGATCGCAGGCGTCAGATTTAATGCAAGTGCTGTGCGATTATATTTTTGTTTTAAAAATTTAGTGGAAAAATTCAAATGAAATTCTTAGCACAATTGGAAATTATATAAAAAGCAATCTTCTTGATGATGATGACCCACTATTATCAGCAGCTTCATATTAACTATTTTTATATAGGGATAGTTTTATATATATATCACTTAAGATAACAAATGGGATATTATAAAACTGTTAATTATGATCACATTGCAAATGACTAAATTTTTATCCTGAAATTCTTGGAAATACCAATGTTCTATTCACTTTGGTTTTGTTGCAGTATGCCCCATTTATAAACAATTTGTTGTAACACAAGACATGTAACATGTAAATCATTAGAAAAATTAGATTTTTCAAAAAAAATTTTTTGCAAGTTATTTATATATTCATCAACATGAGTGAATTTGAAAAGGTAAGTTAATAATTTACTCGTGAATCAATTTTTTTTAATTAATATTTTTTAAATTATACATACTATTATGAAAAAAGGTTGTTATTATTGATGCAAAAGGACATTTATTGGGACGCTTAGCATCAATTGTGGCCAAACAAATTTTAACAGGTCAAAAAATTGTTATTGTCCGTGCAGAAGATTTGAATGTATCTGGATCATTTTTCAGGAACAAGAGTAATTAAGTCGATAATTCTTTTTGATTTTTTTTTAAAAATTTTTTTTTTCATTAATCTTAATACATCAATTTTAAATACAATATAAACTCACACATATATAAATGAATATAGTCAAGTATCATTCCTATCTTCGTAAGCGATCAATTGTAAATCCAGCACGTGGACCATTTCATTTTCGAGCACCATCCAAAATATTTTATAAGACAATACGTGGTATGATTCCACATAAATCATCACGTGGAGCTGCAGCATTAAAACGTCTTAAGATCTTTGAGGGTATACCACCACCATATGATAAACAAAAAAGAATGGTAATGCCTGATGCTTTGAAAGTTTTGAAGTTGAAACCAGGTCGTAAATTTACAACGATCTCACGTTTATCAACAGAAGTTGGATGGAAATATAAAGATGTTGTTAAGAAATTAGAGGATAGACGTAAAGTCAAGAGTAAAGAATTTTATGAACGTAAAAAGAAAGAAGCTCAAATCAAGGCTAATGCTTTAAAGAACAAAGAAAAAGAGTTAAAGAAAGTTCAACAACAACTCCATGCATTTGGTTATTAATTTATATGTTGATTAATTAATTTATAATAATAAAAAATAATTTTTATTCAAAAAATTAAACATCACTAATTGAATTAGAAGTATGGTTCTATGATGATTTGTTTCAAATTTATTTATATTCTTTCTTTAGTCTTTTAAGCATGAAATTTTTAGCTTTTAATTTTATCATTAAATAAAAAAAGAATAAATAAATAAATCAAATATATTATATTAGCAAAAATTTTTTTTTCTTAATGTTTAAATTATACTAATGTCTAATGTCTATTGGTTTAATTGAATAGATTGATTTTGTTAATAACAGGCCAACATTTGTTTGCTCATGAGCAAGAGCAAATTATTGTAAGAGTAATTTATTTATTTATATATCTTTTGTTTTTCTAAAAATTAAATTATAATATTAATAATAATTTAGCAACAATCAAATTGACATTTTGATTGCAATTCCAGGAAAGATTAATTGAACATATTATGATTCATATGATAAATAACGTTGCCCTAATATTAGGTTATGGGTTATGATACAAATCAATGTGTACTAATATCATTTCTACATCTGAAGATTTCGATCAATCAAGCCACCAATATTTATTTATTTTAATGATTTAGGATGTACTTGGTTTCTTTTTCTTTTCTGCTTCTGCCTCTTTCTCTTTCTCAATATCAGTTACTATAACTTCAACCTCTTCGATTTCTAAACTCTGTATGTTTATCATGAATTATAATAATATTGATAATAATTAAAATAACAATTTCAATTACATAAATCTATAGAGATCTAGTAATATTAGTGGTGTTAATAATAATAATACTAAAAGGCTGTTTACTTTAATTATAGCATCATTAGTCATCACTGCAATCTCGATATTTTTGGCGCCAGTTTGTACAACCTAATAAATTTATAAACTGTTATTATCAAATATATACACACATACATGTCTATATATAATAGTTATCATACCTCTAAAAGAGATTTAACGGCCAATTTTATGGTTTCATCTTTTGATAAACCTTCCTTATAATTTTTTTCCAAAAATTCAAGGACAGTTTTTGAACTTCTTCCAATTGAATTTGCCTTTTGATTTTTTTAAAAAAAATATTTAAAAAACTTATATAAACTCTCTTAATCAAAACATTAAATAAGTAAGTAATGTTTGTAATATTTACCTTCCATGCTGAATATATGCCAGATGGATCAGTTTGATAAAGTCTTGGTACTTTATCATTAGCATCAAATCCAATAATAAGTGTTGAAATACCAAATGGACGTACACCACCACTTTGTGTGTATCTCTAAAATCAAATAATAATAATAATACCTAAATATTTACTTAATGTCTAACTGAGCGAGTATTTAATATATTATAAATACTATAACCACATACCTGTTGAACACCTGCAATGTAACGTGTAATATATTCAACAGTTACGGGGTCTTCAACAGTAAGTCTATGGCTTGGACATTCTATTCTAGCTTTATTAACAAGAACCCTTGCATCTGCACTAAGACCTTTTACAATTCATTAGGAATGTATTTTTAATGTTTTTATTATTAATTTATAATCTTCACCTCAAAAAAAAAACACAATAATAATAACAGCAACAACAGCAACATCAATAATTCTGTACCAGCAAATGCCATGCATACGTGATCATCTAGCATGGCAATCTTTCGTACAGTGCGTGGATCTTGTAATTTAAGAACTGCTTTTTTTTTCAAACCAAGAACAACACAATCTTCACCACGGACTCCCACCTATACAACGAATTAATTAATAAACATAAAAATTCCTCATAAATGATTGAGTAAATATCAAACGTAAACAATAAAGATAAATACCGCACAAGTTCCTTTTCTAACAGCTTCTAAAGCATATTCAACTTGAAATAAATGTCCGTCTGGCGAAAAAACAGTTAATGCTAGAAAAAATAACTAAATTGAATTAACTAAAAGTTGAATTAATTATAACAATTACCTTGTATTAAGAATTAGGGTTTAAATAAAACAAGAAAATTTACCGCGATCATAAGATCCAGTCATTATTTTTTATTCATAACATATCCATTTTTAGTTTATATTTTACTTTTAATACAAATATTATAAGAAGTTGTTGATATACTATATAATAGACCATATTGGTAGTATCATTCATTGTATTAGATGTTACGTGATCCTTGATTGTTTTAAGAAATGATAATTTTTATTCCTTTCGGTTATATCATTTTCATCATACATAACCTAATTCATTGAAAGTGACTTTGGAGCAAATATTGGCGACAATTATTGGATGGTAAGGAATTTAAATACCAATGTTTATTCGCCAAGTAAAAGGAATTATTTAAAGAAAGATACTCCATCAATACCACATTTAAATCATCATGGAAACTACATTTATAGCCATCATATACAATCATGACTTTGTTCGCGTTATCAGTGGAGATATTAATGAGAGTAAAATTATTTATAAATGACTGGTTATTTATTTATCTAATAGAAAATCCCCAATGAAAAATATTGGTAGTATGTACGAACAGAAATAATAATAGCAGTTGATATAAATAACATGAGTGAACAAGATGGTATGTAATTAACGGTGATTAACATTTTTAGATGATGTTGGTAACGCGGATGATGGTCGTAACACGTTCTCGTTTTTCAACATCAAAATCAATCATATTTTTTTATTGTTTTTCTTTTAATGCATTTTTTGTAAAATAAAATAAAATGCTAATATCTGTATCAATTATTTTATTTATACAATTTTCTTACATTAGATGTTTATATATATGTTTATTTGTTTGTAGAATTAATATATAGATTTTTTAGATCATTAAAATTTGCTTTCTTTAGTGTGAAAAAAAAAAGTATTTGCCTCTAACATAAACACTGGATTGTTTATTGTTTGAATCGAATAATGATTCATTAGATTTATTTCACGTGTCCCGAATCAATAGATCAATATTTTTTAATAGTT